CCACTCCACTCTACTCCACTCCACTCCACTCTACTCCACTCCACTCTCCTCCACTCCACGTTACTCCATTCCTCTCCCATTCCTCTCCATTCTACTCAACTCTACTCCACTCCATTCGACTCAAGTATGCACACCACTCCACCACTCTACTCCACGAGTTTACTCTACTCGACTCTTCTCTACTCGATTCTGCTCTTTGCTACAGTATTATACTCTTATACTTTGCTTTACTCAACTCCATTTTACTCTAAACTACTTTACTCTGTTAAAGTCAGTTTGAGCCCGTTTTGAGTGGAGTTTTAGTTTGTTTCAGCGTATAGGTCCATTTGAGGTACGCCACTCTTCTCTACTCTACTCCACTCAACTCTATTCTACTCGACTCGACGCGACTTGACTTTACAGTATTCTATGTGACACTCCTATAAGCTGCACTATTCTACTCTACTCTATTTTGCTTTACTCTACTACTTTGCTCTACTTTACTCTACTTTGTACTCTACTGTAGTGTACTATATGTTGTGATACTCTTACGTACTCACTCTACTCTATTGTACTCCACTTCATTCCACTCCACTCTTTTGTACTCTACGCCACTCCACTCCACACCACGTTTTTTTACTCTACTCTTCTACACTCAACTCTAGTCGACTCTACTTTACTCTACTCTACTCTACTCTATTCTACTCTACTCTATACTACTCTACTCTACTTTGCTTTACTTTTCCCTGCTCTACTCTGCTGTACTCTACTCATCTCTACTCTACCGTACTTTATGCTACGATACTTTAATCTACTCGCTCTACTCTACTCTATTCTATTGTACTGTATTGTACTCTACTCTACTCTTCTGCTCTACTCTTTCCTATTTTATTGTACTCGCTTCTACTATTCTCTACTCTAACCTACTCTTCTACTCACTGCTCCACTCCACTCCACTCCACTCAGCTCCGCTCCACTTCACTCCACTCCACTCCACTCCACTCCACTCTCCTCCATTCCACTCCACTCCACTCTACTCTACTCCACTCCACCTTAGTCCATTCCACTCCACTCCATTTGACTCAACTACATTCCACTATACTCCACTCCACACCACTTTACTATTGAACCCCACTCGACTTTACTCTGCTCGACTCTTCTCAACTCGAATCTGCTCTACTTTACACTACTGCACTCAACTCTACTCTATTTTGCTTTACTCTAGTTCATTCTACTCTCAAGTACTCTGCTTTGTTAGAGTCAGTTTGAGCCCGTTTTGAGTGGTGTTTTAGTTTGTTTTAGCGTATAGGTTTATTCAAGGTACGCCACTCTACTCTACTCCACTATACTTTGTTTTACTCTACTTCGCTTTACTCTACTTTATGTTTTTCTTTAGTACTGTACTCTACTCTACTTTACTTTACTCTACTCTTTTGTACTCTATTGTAGTGTACTATATGTTGCAATACTCTTATCTACTCACTCTACTCTACTGTACTCTACTGTACTCTACTGTACTCCACTTCACTTCACTCCAATCCAATCCAATCCACTCCACTCTTCTCTTCTAGACTCGACTCCACTCCCGTCCGCTTTACTTTTATCTGCTCTACTCTTCTAGAGTCGACTCGACTCGACTCTGCTTGACTTTACTCTACTCTACTTTGCTTTACTTCTCCCTACTCCACTCTACTGTACTCTACTCATCTCTACTCTACTGTATTTTATACTAGGATACTTTTATCTACTCTACTCTACTCTTTCCTACTTTACTCTACTCTACTCGATTCTACTCTACTCTACTTGATTCTACTCTACTCTACTCTACTTGATTCTACTCTACTCTACTTTACTTTAGGATACTCTACTCTTCTCTACTTTACGATAAGATACTTACGCTTCCTTGCTCTTCTCGACTCTACTTTTTTCGACTCTTCTCTTCCCTAAGTTTTTCTTCCCTACTTTACTCAACTCTAATCTGCTCTACTTTAGTCTACACTACTCTACGCTTCTCGACTCTTCTCGACTCTACTTTTTTCTACTCTTCTTTTCCCTACTCTTCTCAACTCTACTTTTCCCTGCGTTGCTCTACTCTACTCTACTCTGCTCCACTCTACGCTTCCCTACTCCACCCCACTCCACTCTAGTCTACTCCACTCTACTCCACTCTACTCCACTCCACTCCACTCCACTCTACTCTAATGCACTCTCCTCTCCTCCATTCTTCTCTGCTCCACTCCACTCTTCTACACACTACTCCACTCCACTCCACTCCACTCCACTCCACTCCACTCCACTCCACTCCACTTAACTCTGCTCCACTCCACTTAACTCTGCTCCACTCCACTTAACTCTGCTCCACTCCACTTTACTCTACTCCACTCCACTCTTCACCACTTGACTAGACTCCACTCCAATTTACTCCACTTGACTCTACTCTACTCTATTCTCCTACACTCTTCGCTTCCTTACTCACCTCTACTTTTCTCTTCCCTACGCTTCTCTTCCCTACGCTTCTCTTCCCTACTCTTCTCTACTCAACGCTTCTCTACTCTACGTGTCCCTGCTCCTCTCCCCTACGCTTCTCTTCCCTACTCTTCTCTTTTGTACGCTTCCCTACTCTATGCTTCCGTGCTCTGCCCTACTCTACTTTGTTCTTCTATGATATGCTCTGCTCTAAACTACTCTGCTCTGCTTTGCTCTGATCTGCTCTGCTCGAGAGATGGTTAACCGACCCCCCATTTTTCACCTCAATTTATAAGAAAACCGTAAGGCCATTTCAAGCAAACTTCATACCAATGTATAGAGTGCACTTTTACTAACATATTATAAAAAAAAAACTGAAAAAAAATAATGAAGAACCCTAATTTCAGGATCATTCATGGTTACCCAGGGCCGAAACGTGGGGGTCCCCGTTAACCAATAGTGCTCTGCTCTGCACTACACTCCTTCACTCTGCTCTGCTCTACTCCACTCTACCTTACTCTACTCCATTCTGCTCTACTCTACTTCACTCGCCTCCACTCCACTCCCCTACACTCTCCTCCACTCCACTCCACTCCACTCCACTCCACTCCACTCTACTCTACTCTACTCCACTCTACTCCACTCCACTCCACTCCACTCCGCTCCACTCCATTCCACTCCAYTCCACTCCACTCCACTCCACTGTACTCCACTCCACTCCACTCCACTCCAATCTACTCCAATCTACTCTACTCCACTCTACTCTACTCTACTCTACTCTCCTCGACTCTATGTTTCCCTACTCTTCTCTACTCTTATCTTCCGTACACTGCTCCACTCCAGACTTCCCTGCTTTGCTCTGCTCTTCTCCTCTTCTCTACCCTGCTTTACACTACTCTCCTCTGCTCTGCCATGATCTGCTCTGCCCTGCTCTGCTATGATTTGTGCTGCCCTTCATCATAGTGCGGCCGGTTGCTGACTTGAAGGGGACGAAAAATCTTCGTACTGAACTTTTTTCTTTGTATGTTGGTGTTGTTCTTTCTTTATTCTAGGCGTTGTTCTTTTGTTGCTCTCTCTCTCTCTCTCTCTCTCTCTCTCTCTCTCTCTCTCTCTCTCTCTCTCTCTCTCTCTCTCTCTCTCTCTCTCTGTGTGTGTGTGTGNCACAACATGGGAAGAAACAAAGAGAGAGAGAGAGAGAGAGAGAGAGAGAGAGAGAGAGAGAGAGAGAGAGAGAGAGAGAGAGAGAGAGAGAGACAGAGAGAGAGAGAGAGAAACAGAGACATGAAACAAAAATGCGACGCCATCAGCGAGTGTTGCTGTGCGCCACGGCTACGCCGTGGCGGGGTCCACTTGTTTATATTTAATTCAATAGATTATTAGTTTATATATTCATCATAATGATGATTAAATGATCATATTGATTTTATTTTGATCATCTTCTGTGATAATAAAGAAGAAATAAAACAAGAAAAATACTTGATTTCCATGCAAGTTTTTTTTTTTTTTTTCATACGTATGATGACAGTCAAAGTTGCATTCATGTACAGTACCATGACATGCCATGTCTCATTTGTATACAGGCTGGAACGGCAATGACTATACAATTGCAGTCGGTGTGCCTCTGTTTCCAAGCATATAGGAGTCACGTACCCTGTGGCATTTGTCTCCGCTTTGCCAATCGATGCAGATATCATAACATGCAAATGTGTCGTTAAGGCACACGGGGATGTGGTCAGCTGGCGCTCAACCACGATCAAAGTGGCCAGCCTTGCACGTGAGAGGCATAGTAAAAGGGAACCTGCAAGAACAAATAAAAGGCGTAACTCAAAGAAAACTAAAGTACAAAGTTACTTAAGAAAGGGAAAGTATGGATCTACTGTTTTCCATGTTGCTTGCTATAGGGGTAAAGTAGCCTCTGTACCACACAATGCAATGCAGTGCCACCTCAGCCAAATAAAAGGCGTACCACACAATGCAATGCAGTGCCACCTCAGCCAAATGAAAGGCTTACCTCAAAGAAAACAAAAGTAAAAAACTGTTTTGTTGTTGGATTGGTTCATCTCAAGTGTGCTTCAATGTCTGCCATAAAGGTAAAGTTGCTTCGATTTTCGATCTACTCATCTGGTGGAACAGCGACTGTTGCGGTGAAAATATACATGAAACACGCCCATGTCTTATCTGACGCCATCAGGAACCGCAAGCTAGTGGGCAACATTTGCAAGCGCCGACTCTGAGCCACCTGACAGCTTGCTGGGTCATCCACCACCATCTGCAAGACAGCCGACCAGCTAGTGGGCGATATCTGCTAGTGCCGACTTTGAGCAGTTTTGGGGAAGTTGACGCCTTGTGTCCATCTTTTTCGGAGCCGAAATTTGTGCGCCTTTGTATATAATCCTCATTTGCTTTTTTTTTTTCCTGTTCCTTTGAAATCCCTTCCCTTCTCCCTGTGTCGCAACGGCTTGCCCGACTTGTGCAGCAGCCTCTCTCAATGAAGGAATATACCGCTTCTGAAATAATTTTCGTTTACTGTGCTTTTGGATTGTGGCATTGCACAGGGCAAGTGATTATTAAGAGCAATGACGAAGAAGACGAGAATCCGTTCTTCATGACAGATGTGCTGGGAAAGAAGGAGCCAGAAGACATGACCGTGGACAGCTGATTGACTCTCCACTGCTGCAAATGTGCACTTGAAGTGGGTATGGTGGAGGCGACGGGTGGATCTTGGGTCCAAAGATGTGAGACGAAAGAAGAGGATCATCTCTTTCTGTACCCTGCCCACCCCATCATTTGGAAAAAAAAGGGTCCCGGTTTCTGTACCCTGCCTGCCCCATCATTTAGAAAGAAGGGTATCAATCATCTCTTTCTGTACCCTCACTGCCCAACCCATGGTTCAAAAAATAGGGTCCCCATTTCTGTCAGCTTTAGCAATAACCCATTGTGCAAGCATTAGCTACGCAGCACATGTAGGCTTCTCTTATACGACCCACAGCTCTTGTGTTCGCTTTTCAGGGTCAGGTTGTGTCTACGACCTGCAGCACCGTAACGGTCAGGTGGCTCTTTCAACCAACACGTGATCACCTTTTCTTCTTTCTTTCTTAAAAAAAAAAAAAAAAAAAAAAAAAAAAGCAGGTCCTTATGGTCCTGGGTTTTTATCCATTCTGGGGAGCATCAATCCAGTTACTTCCCCCCCACGCCCCCCCGGCAAGTCATTTAATAATGAATTAGCCCCGACAAATAATTAAATAATAAATACACCATTTAGACCTCGCAGCACTCACGCTTCACCTATAATATGCCTTTTAAGTTTTAATGCATGTAAGCGACCAACCACCCCCCGGGAGGTCTTCGGTATCGGCAGTTCCACTCAGGGGATGCAGTCTTCAAGGCATGCTCAGCTACTTTAAGTTGATGCCAACAATAATTTAAGAATTCGGAGGACCTGGAGATACGAGTGATCTACTGCATGGGTCGTGTAACCATAGGTTGCAGACAATTAGATGTGACCAAACTCAGATCTTGACGATGCCTCTGATAACACGGATATGTCATTCATGTCTACTGTGAATGGCTGTAGTTAGTACCAAGGGGTTGAGTGGCCAGGAGAAGACAGGCTGTGCCTTCGGGATGCTAACACTTGACAAGTATGCGCTGTATGCGTCATGCTCACTCACGGGCGTGCATGCCAAAGCGCGCTTGCTCGCTTGAGGGTGTGCGTTCTAAAGCGCGCTGTGCATGCTGAAGCATGCTATGTGTTCTAAAGTGCGTCATGCGTGCTAAAGTGTGTTATGCATGCTAAAGCGGGCTTGCACAGTCGCGGGTGTGCGGGTTAGAGCACGCGTGCTCACTCACAGGTGTGCATGCTAAAGTGCGCTATTCATGCTAAAGCGCGCAACGCATGCTGCAGTGTGCTACGCATGCTAAAGTGCGCTATGCACGCTAAAGCACGCTTGCGCACTCGCGGGTGTGCATGCTAAAGCACGCTTGTTCACTCGCGGATGTCCATGCTAAGGCGCGCTTGCTCACTGTGCGACGGCATGCGAACACCGATCAAGCATGCTGTTCTGTAGGCCGCATGCTCACTCGCTGGTGTGCATGCTGAAGCGCACTTGTTAGGTACGGTGCGTGTGTATGTGTGCGTGCCGCAGTATTGCCTTTGTCGAGGCAACGGCAGAAGTTCTGAGCACAGTTGCCTGCAGGAGGAGAAACACTTCGCACTCCCAAAGAGGTCAGCTACCTTTGTTGGCCTTCTCCCATTTTGTTAGAATTAAAATTTAATATTTATACAGGTTACAAGAAAGCGTACGAGATTATATCACACATGTAACACCCCGGCATGCATACGCGTCTACGATGATGACTTGCACACAAACCACTCACACTCGCACACAAACACACATACACAGGGGCGACAACCTCCTGACGAGTCAGTGAAAGTCCAACAACACACAGACACAGGGGTTCAGTAAAAGTCCGGATGGGTCCATAAAAGTCCGATGAAACAGTCTGGCACAGTCATGCTTTGTATTGTGGAGTTGTGTATAGTGAAAATGACAAGCAGCACACACACACACACACACACACACACACACACACACACACACACACACACACACACACACACACACACACACACACAGGGCTGTTGTGGGGCTGTCTCTTATACACATCTAGATGTGTATAAGAGAGGTGTCCTAGGCCAGCTAGACGTTAGGGGCCTTTTGAAATCCAAAAGTAGTTTAACCTTGAAATTATTAATTGTCGATAGTTCAAGGTATTTTAGTCTGCAAGGAAAATGAGCGAGAGCGATAGACAGGAAACCAAATTGCATAATCACGATGTAGTCCAGATAGTCGTGTACCAAGCAGAAAGCACAATGCACCAAGATGTCGGCCAAATAAGAGCAGTACAGTGACCTCAAATGTCAACGTCAGCACTCTCTCGCCACATCAGCATAGTATCCAATGTCGCTCTTTCAGATTGGTGCTCAGCGCCCAGCCTATTCTACTCAGCCTATCTAGCCTACGCTAGGTTCATGCAGCAGGAGTCACTTCAAACTGAAGACCAATGTACATGACGATGTCCCCAATGCAGACTGCCAGCGTACACCAGGTACGTGCCTCTTCTCTCCTCTCATCCCCCCCTGTCTCCCCGCCTCATGCGCCTCCTCTCCCTGAAGATCACCATCCCCGTGACCGACACGCGAGAGAGCAGCTGGCCGCCTCGCGCCAGCTGCCACCGCAGCTCCCTCTGACCAAGTGCACCGTCTGGCTCGTCAGCACCCAGGAAGCCTGTCTGCTCACAACGCAGCAGTGTGGCCGCCCAGCAGCACAAGGCCAGCATGTCCCCTGGCCGGGGCGCTCACTTTCGTGTATGGAAAGTGAGCCTGTCTGTTGGGGCCCTGGGCCTGGCCTGTGTGTGTGCAGTAGCTTGACGATGGGACAAAGTGTCTGCGCCCAGGCCCTCTCAGACAACTGCCTGGGCCTGTAGCAGTTAAGTTGCACAACTGTGCAACGTGGCTGCTGTGGCACACTGCCTTCGCATTGGCCTACGGGCCTCCAGCCACTCGCTTGCTGCATTCTTATTGGCCGAGAGAATTCGGCGACCTCGCTGCTGGGAGGAGCCCTGCGGCTCAGTATGTCGTGCTCACACAGGCGTGGCCCTGTAACCAACTGGCACCTGGAAACTGTCTGGCGCCCAACATTGCAGAAATGGTTTAAATGGGGCCCCGTATCAAATTCAGGCCCGCCTTCCCTTAGGGCGAGCACATTCCTTACTAGGGGCCCCTTGAGCATTTGGAGGCTAGCGGGTCTCGCATGACTCTCCCATGTGAGACCCGCCTCCCCGTGTTGGGAAGACTTTTCGGTGGACCCATCGCGGTGGACGGAGGGGGCGCGTCAACGGGCTGCTCACACGTTTGAATACAAGTACATAGCCGCGTAAGAAGCGCGCCCCGCATGACGTTTTGCCTTTTCTGTTTTGCTGCAGCTCCTCGCCTCAGTACTCTGACATGTGCAAGATGAGAGTGACGATGATTTTTGTCGTTTGTGCATGTCGAGAGTAGTTGAGCCAGGCCATGTGTGCTTAGGGGCGTGCGGTTACATTGTGTTGAATTTTTTTTTTTCAGCAGAATCTTCCGCTAGATCATGGAAAGATACATCGCCATGATTTTTGTCGTTTGTGCATGTCGAGAGTGTTGGAGCCAGGCCATGTGTGCTTAGGGGCGTGCAGTTGCATGGTGTTGATTTTTTTTTTAAAAGCAGATTCATTATTCTCTTTGCAATAGATTTCGAGTAGAGTTGTTTTTCTGTTTGCCTTTTTCTGGGCTGGGGTGGGGGGGGCACTATACCATGTGTACATTTGTTGGGTAGATTCGTTGTGTTGTTTTTGGTTAAATCGTTCGTTTTTTTCTTTTTGTCTGTTTCCGAGAGGGGCACCTCGCCACATGCACAAAAGACCAAAAAATATGAGGGTGTATGGTTCCATGTAGCCAAAAATCGGTTCACCTGGCCTCGCTCCGCTATTTCCCCGTGCTCTGGGGGAAGATGCATTCTCATTTTGCACTTTCGGGGAAAGCTGGAACGAGGCCCTCTGTCTTATAGCTATCAATTTATTTATTATACTATGGAATACTACAATACATTTTATTGCATTATAGATTAATCTATTTGAGAAGTGAGTATTGATGATGAATGAAAATCATGTCATCTACATTTTACTTAATTCATCTTTATATATACTAGTCGACCCGCCGCTGCGATGCCGCGGCTCATGAGCGCATCCATGCAGATAGAGAGGAAGGAAATGCCAGGTGAAAAGCGGAGAAATAGAAAGGGCTGATGTTTCAGCCGGGTATCCGAGGCCAATTACAGATAGTACAACGACAGGCACCTCCCGAGGTCTACGACCTGGACTTAAAAAGGGTCGACGTTTCAGCCGAATGTCTCAGAGTCTGGTTACAGACAGTTTTGTGTCAACTTCACCCGTTCCGTTGGGCGTCCTTTTCCTTGCTGCTGCTCATGGCCATTGATAGAGTATCGATTGATGAGGCACGGGGAGGAGAAGAGGGTAAGAGGAGATCCATGGAAATCATCGGGCAAACGAGATGGCACGTGTGCATGTAGGCATAGAGAGATCACTGATTCGGATGGACGTATGGTTGATGTGCACACATGCATAGCTCCCAGAGAAAAGAAGAGAGAGAAAACAAGGGGTCCGATGGAATGGATCGACCGCAATCAAACACACACATGCTAGCACAGAGAATTCACTCATTTGCATGGATGTATGCTTGATCGACATGCATGTATACCTCGCAAAGGAGGGGAAAAAAAGGGTGTCTATCGCAAATCAAACACGCGCACATACGATGGTGCTTCCCTCCCTCCTTCCTGCTGCCCTCCTTTTGTCACGTTCTCCTCGTCATTATCTTCCTTTCCCTGCTCGTCCTGCTCCTCCAACCCCTCCTCGTTCTACGTCTCCTCTCACGTTCGTTTGCTCAAGGGCCTCCTTCCACTGCTCGTGCCGTGAAGGACATGCATCCGATGCAATTGATCGATCGGAAATGAAACACACACACAGGATGGTGGTTCCCTCCCTAGTTCCGCTAGTCCTGTCACTCGTTCCATTGGGCGTCCTTTTCCTTCGCGCTGCTCCTTCTTCTCGCTGCCCTCCCTCTTGTCATGTTCTCCTCATCACGATCCCCTGCTCGTCACTTTCTTCTCCTCGCAATCCCCTCCCCCCCCTGCTCGTTCCACTCCTCTCACGTCCATTCGGCGTCCCTCCCGCTGCTCCTCCTTCCCGCTTCCCTCCCTCTTGTCACATTCTCCTTGTCACGATCCACCTTCCCCTGCTCGTCGTTTTCCTTCACTCACATTCTTCTCCTCACGGTCCTCCTCGCCCTGCTAAGGGTTCAGTCTAGATAAGAGCTGGGATGGTTGGATTTGGCCGGCCGCGTATTATCTCGTTCTACTCCTCTCACGTCCTTCTCGTCATGGCCCTCATTCCGCTGCTCATCACGTTCTTCTCCTCACGATCTNGGGGGAGGGTGGCAGTGGATTGAAGACCGGCCAACAGGTCCGTCCCATCATCCCATACTTGTTTATATTTTATCTTTTCGCGGGAGGAGCACATGGTATGAGATGATGGCCAGGCTCTTGGACTATGAGAGGAGGTTCGTGTGAATGATTTCGATCATTGATCTCCCTGGCCGTTTAATAAATCTACCAGTTCTTTGAA